CACACCAACCTGGAGGCCAGAGCCGAATGGACTCATCTGCTCCCTCCAGAAAAGGCAGGGAATTAAAGAAGCTGGCAGAGGCACTGTGGGCAAAGGGAAGGGGCTGCTACGTCTGATACTGTAGCTCTTGGCATCGTTAGTGTTGTGGAACCCATAGAAACAGCTCTGAAAAATAAATGTGAATTACACATTTTCAGAAATAAGAGTCCAAAGCAGCTTAAACCTAAGAAGCATGGTGGACTTGAACGTCTCTGAGCTGCGAGGAAGAGATGAGGATGGGTCATTCTTGTGCCAGTTCACAGGGACAAAACCCACACTGGCAAGGGAGGAACAGGTAGAGAAAGCCACAGGGACAAAGAAGCCGGAGAGAAGGCCGGGTGTGGGGGCTCACAGCTGTAATCACAGCACTTTGGGAGACCAAGGCAGGCGGATTGCTTGAACTCAGGGGTTCAAGACCAGCCTGGGCAACAAGGTGAATTCCTGTCTGTACCAAAAAAAAAAATAAATAAAACAAAATAACTGGGTGTGGTGGTGCACACCTGTGTTCCCAGCTGCTTGGAGGGCTGGGGTGGGAAAACGGCTTGAGCCTGTGAGGTGGAGGTTGCAGTGAGCGGAGATCATGCCACTGCACTCCAGCCTGGGCGACACAGCGAGAAAGAGCGAGACACCATCTCAAAAAAGAAAAAAAAAAATAGAAAGGAAGAAACGAGAGAGAGCAGCTGGTGGAGAAGACACTGGACAGAGACTTTGAGGAAGATTTACCTGGAAGTTGTACCTCAAATAAAATGGGAGAGAATAAAAGGGAGAGGAATACTGACCAGAGGCAGAGGCTCAGACACAGAGTCAAACAGGTCATGAGTGCTTGTCTGAAGGGCAGCTACTCTCCCAGCTGGCCTCCGCCTTGGCAAATGTGTGGACAGGCTCCATCGGCATCACGCTGGAGCTGGTGAGGAATGCAGGCCCCACCCCACCCTCCTTGGAGCAGAACCTGCTTTCCAGCCTGACTTCCAGGTTAGCACACTGAAGTTTGCAAAGCCTTACCTTGGACTGGCATTGTGAAACAGGCTTTGTCTGGAAACCACTGAGCCATCAGCCTGGGCGCTATGGAAGGTAGGATGTGCTACAGTTTCAGAATGTTCCATGACTCAGTGGACCCCTAGCATGTCTGTTCTAGAAAAGTGATGGCCCTTGGACCTTGCTTTGACTTCTGTGATCTGTGCTGCATCTGGGGAAGCTCTAAGCCCTGAGGACTCAGCAGCTGAGCTTCTAATCCATCAAAGTGCTAAAAAAATTGTAGTTCTCTGTCTCTCTCTCTCTCTCTTTTTAATTCAAAGTAACCTTCCAGAACACACACTTCTTTTTCCTGTTCTGAAACTGGTAGCCAGCATTCTGTGCCAATTCAAAATTACAGGAATTAGAAATGTTTAGAAGCTAGTTGGCAGTATATGCAAAGGCATAAGATGTGTTTTCCAGAAGCCTTAGATTACATTCTACTCAACTGGAATGCAACAGACATTTTTTCCAGGTGCAGAATGGGAGTCTTTGAGTGGGGGATTTATTGGTTGACTTCTTACATGGGAATTCTTTTCCTTGGAGTCTTATTTAAATCTTGGCATCATTACATTTAGAAAGATATGAAAATTGGGCTGGGTGTGGTGGCTCACGCCTGTCAGCCTAGCACTTTGGGAGGCACAGGTGCGGGATCACTTGAGGTCAGGAGTTCAAGACCAGCCTGGCCAACATGGCAAATGTCTCCACTAAAAATGCAAAAATTAGCTGGACATGGTGGCTCCCACCTGTAATTCCAACTACTCAGGAGGCTGAAACACGAGAATTGCTTCAACCCAGAAAGTGGAGGTTTCAGTGAGCCTAGACTGCGCCACTGCACTCCAGCCTAGGTGACAAAGTGAGACTATGTCTCAAAAAAAAAAAAAAAGCGATGAAAATCCGTCTGTTTGCATGCATAGATTTATCCTAGACATCAAATCACTCTAGTTGCACAGTCTAGATTCCTTGGTGAGTCTTTTACCTCTAGAAGAATAAAAGTCATGGAACCCTTGAAGGAAAACCAGGTTCCAGTTACTTGGGCCAGGCTCTTATCAGGATCAAGTAGAGAATTTCTTGCTTGGAGACACTGGCTCTCTGGCTGCCAGTAGAGGCTCTGTCATTTATCAATGGGAGTCAGTGCAGTCAGAGCAAAGATCAAGAGTGGCAGCTGCAGGATTAAGAGGACATCCGGTCCCCCCGGTTGCTGCCCTGCCTATTCTGTGAGCAGCCCAATGACAGTGAGAAGAGACTATCGTGTTGCCTTCACTAGGGTCCTGTGCCACCAGACGGAGGGAAAGTCCTTTGCCGCCTGGGAAAAGGGTGTCCTCCTCAGTAGATGTCTGAAGAATGGCCCTGTCTCAAAACGCGGAGGAAACTGACCAACGTCACTTATCTCCACGGCAGATTGGTACTTACATTTAAGGCACTAAAAAATGGGTTTAAAGGACAGCCTGAACGCCAGAAAAGAAAACGCATAAATGATTTAAACTCTTTGAGACTAGCGATTTCTCTACTACTACTGCAAATCATCCATGTACAGCGGGGCAACAAACCATGGGAAACGCACCCAGCCCTCTGCAGACGTAAGTATCGTTTAAAGTGGGTGCCATGTAGACTAATGAAAAAAGCTGGCCATCGTTCTCAACTTGCACATAGAAAATGAGTAGCACCGAGCTATTGCAAGAACAAAACTCATCTGTCCCAAAACAAAGAATATTTTGTCCTCTACATGTTCCAAGAAACTTCTTGTCCAAGGAAGTCTTTTTAAGCCAATTTACCTCCAGCCAACAAGAGCCATCCTCTGAAGAGAATTTGCAGATATGTGACGACTGGATTGGGCCCAGCATCTAACCCAAATTCCCTCCGCAGAGGAACACTGAATAACCCACGCTAAGTGACACACAAGATCAACACTGCCTACTGTTAAAAAGTTATCATCTTTTAAAAAGTTAAAATGTTATCATTTCAAGGCAAAAAAAAATCTATACAAGTCTTCGTGTTTGACACCATTCCAGTCAAGCTGGACTTTTAGAATTATTATTTTAATCAAAAAAGAGGCCAAAAGAGAAGAAAGCCAACTCGGGAACAAGGTTCCCAGTAAAGTTCTATTAGTTTATCAAAACAGGAAATATAAGCCATTTCCGCACATGCAGCTTTAGAAATCAAGGAAATAATTCCAACATGGTATTAGCAGGGCAAGGTATATGGAAGAGGAAGTGCAGGTCACAGCTGTACCACCCAGAACAAAGCCTTCTTCCCCATATGCCGGGCAGGAAAGCCAGCCAATTCAGCTTCCTTTGTTTAACAGTGTTTCAAGGGCATCCTAAATAAATGTGTTCACTCTACAGAATGGTCTTGAAAGAGTCACCAGCTAAAGATGGTGAAATGCCTGCAGGCCAGGGGTGCCCCCCCACGTACAATAAATAAGTCCCATGGGCTTTTCTGGAGTGCCAGTGGCTGAGCTTCTAATCCATCAAAGTGCTAAAAAAAAAATTATAGTTCTTTCACTTTTTTTTTTTTTAAATTCAAAGTATCCTGCTAGAGCTGTTCTTTTTCCTGTTCTGAAACTGGCAGCCAGCATTGCTGTGCCAATTCAAAACTACAGGAACTATAGGAACTGAAAATGTTTAGAAGTCCCAGCAGCTATGACTGCATCGATGCCCGTCCTCATGGAACTGAGAGACTCAGAGAAGGAAGGAGGAGCTCAGGCTGTGTATTTGGAACATGAGAACCAGGAAGAAACGGCAGTAGTTTAATAAGAGATGGGCTAGACACTCTTTAGGAAGACAGCCGGCCTTCCTGTCTGGAAGCGTTCCTTCACTGTCTCCCAGGCAAATACCTGAGGAATGGGATCATTCCCCTCCTAGTTCAACACGGCGGCAAGACATAACCAGGAGGCATGACGTTCGGTGCCCTCCCCTGAGTCATCGGCAGAAAGCCGCGTGTTTTCATGCCTGCACACCTATGCCTCTTAATGAGCAGTGGCTGGCCAACTGGGCCACCTTCCATCTCCGCTCAGGCAGCTCCGTGTCTGGGGTGTTTTCCACACACAGCGTGCGGTTGGCAGGGCCACCTCTGACAGCCGCGCTTCAGTGCTGGGGCTTGGGTCCTGACGGGTAGGACTGGCTCCAGAAACAAATCAGGAATGTGACTGCCAGGCCATGCAATGTGTGGTGGGCCAAAGGCCAAGGCACATCCCACTGGCATCGGTCATCCTGAGATGTTTAAGGCAGGCGAGGCCCTAGGTGGGGACTGCTGAGAACCCGGGAGGCTGAAGAGCAGCTGTGAGGGCCCGACCTGGGGCATGAATGATGTGGCAAAGGGCAAGACAAGGGACAGAGTCCCGGCAAAGAAGTGACCGGTCCTGCGGAGCCACAGCATCTGCACAAAGAGGGGATGTGAGGGTTTGGGATGGAATTCAGCCCCCTGAGCCTTTGGAGCTGAAGGGTCACCAATACCTGGCTCCTCGGCCTGGAGCTCCCGACAAGTGAATGAGAGCTGAGGCCCTGCCAATGCAGTCTGAGCCAATGCTTTTTTGGAAATACCTCGTCCTGGGCTAGAGATGATCTCAGAGCGTGGGTGGGCCTGGCCTCAGGTGAGGACAGGTGGGCCATCAGCCGGAGGGAGGAAATGGGGCTTGGCATTTCCTGACACACAGCCTCTGACCTGGCCACATCTTCATAGTTCACACTCAGTGCCTTTCTAGAGGCAAAAGGCAACGCTGAGCTGGGCCTCCTCAGCGAGGAAGGCAGGTGTATACTCGGGCCTGGCAGGCGGAGGCGTGCACCCAGGTGTTCGCACTTGGCAATGAACCACGATGAGCGCAGGGGAGGAGGTTCCGTCCAGAGCCCGCCCTCCCTGTTCTTTCATGGCCTCCCGTTGGTCTACAGAGCACCCTGGCCTTCACCCAAGAGGACCTGCGCCCTCATTTGTTGGGTGGCTTTATTAGGTGTTGGGTGGAGACTCAGGGTGCCTCATCTTGAGTCATCTGGAATAGAAGCCTGGAACCTGTGCAGCAAACACCCAGGGTGTGAACATGGGCGTGGGGCCATCGTGAGGTGGGCAGGACCGTGGGCAGCACATGTGACAAGCAGTCTTCTTCGTGGGCATACAGTAGGGTGCTGGAGCCACAGAACAGGGCACTGAAAGGCAGGCAATTTCCATCTCGGAGTACTGGAGGGTGTTCCGTCAAAGTATGAGTCGCCTGCGTTTGAAGGTTTCCTTGCCTGCCTTCGAATGTCTTGGCCATTAGAGTTCTGGTGTCCCTGCCTTGACACTCCGAGTTACTTCCCGAAATCTGTTCCATCACCCCTGTCACAGCCACTGCCCCTTAATTGTCTATGGCTACCACGGGATCAATGGCTAAGACTGCTGAGATTTATTTTCATTGCAATTTAGATATACTTATGAATTCATGGCTAAACTCTCCTTTGAATAGGTTCTTACTCACTTGATTCCAAAAGTTAATCTTAAATGACTTCCTGCCTGGGATTCCCAAGGCTTTGAGTTACAGCTGAAACAACTCCTCAAAAGCCTCAAGTGAGACAGAGCTCTCTTTCAAGTATTCTCAGGCTGCTCCTTCAGCTCCCCGCCAACCCCCAGGAAAACTCTGCATTTCCAAAATCGCCTCTCACTGGCCTTCACTCCTGGCCCCTGGCCCCCAGGTTGTGAGGGTGACAGAGGCAGCCCAGGGTACTGGCTGGGGCTGCCCGGATATATCAGTAGCGCCCTGGAGTTGGGGTCAGACAGCATGTCAAAGCCTGTCTTCTTGATGTCATTGTGAAGTGGACACACAGCCAGCACTGTCCTGAGAACCAACACGTGCCCAGCTACCTTGCAGAAGGGGGTTCCCTGTGCTCAGGTACCCCTGCACAGGCGCAGCTGAGATGGAGCAAGATGGGGGCCTGGGTATTCTAACTGCATCACATGACTTCTGTCCCTCACAGCAGCAGGGCATCTGTCAATGTGCCAACTGCCAGAAGCCACCTTCCCTTGCCTCCTCTCCTTCTCCACCCTTAATGTAGATTGCCACCCTTCATGTCTTTGTCAATCTGATGACTGGCGAGGTGGGTACTTGGCTAGGTAGTGCTTCTGATATTAACCCTTTAGTTGAGAGTCCTTAGCCCTTTAGTCGGGTTAAGAAGAATGGGTGGGGACAAGAATGGGTGGGAAAGTCAGACTCAATGTGAGTTTGACTTTCTTCTTCCCAAGGTGAATGGCTGGTGTGTTTGAGTGGGTCTCGGCTGCACTGATAGGGAAGGTGAGGGTGTGGAGCCAGCATCTGACAACCTCTGACTTCTCCATCCCACGCTTCCCAGGACCAGCTGGCTTTGCTTCTCCTGAAACCCGCTGACAGGGGTCCTGCTCCCCTGCATTCACGGTTCCCTCCACTTTCAAAGTCTCTTTTTCTTTCAACTACAGCTGAATGCTTAAGCACACATTTTACACACTGATGGAATGTGAGGATTTTCAATGCATGGAGTGTGAACACCTCTGGGGTTCCATCCTCCGCAAAGAAGTTGCTTTGGACGCACCGTTCCTTCAGCTTGGAATGTCTTCCACACCCTCCCTCACCTTCCCTCTCAGTGCAGCCGAGACCCTCAAACACACCAGCCACTCACCTTGGGAAGAAGAAAGTCAAATCACATTGATTCACATCTCCTCCCCACCTATTCTTTTTAGGAACAGGCATTTCTGCTGTCACACAGCATATGACTGTTTCTGAAAAATCCTCACACTCTGCAACACCACACACCAAACCAACAAGGTCCATGGGAAAAAGAGAGCTGGGGCAGGCCACTCAATTCCGATGCAACTTTGTAACTAGGGCCTTGATAAAATTGGTAACAACCCTAATAAAAATAATAGCACAGTTTAATAGGCGTGTTAATTTCCCAAATAAAGAAATACTGCAGTAAATAAAGCACTTTATCTTAAAGAACAGTGACAGCACAGTTTCATAGAAGGCGGTGTAAGGAAGGGCTCAGACTGTTACATTAAAAAGAGCAAGGACAGGATGACCAATTGGAAGAACCATGCAGAAAGCCCTTCTAAGCCGAGTGTGTGCCTCTGTGAGGCAAGAGAGAGAATACTGGGGCCTTGGGGTCTTGCGAATAGTTCCGTTCCTTGGGTTTGCTGTGATGACGTGTATTCATCTACTTACTCTTCAGCTACCCTGTTCCTCAGAGGTGCAAACATCACGCTGGGAAAAACGTCATGCATGAACCAACGTGACTTCCATCTCATAGTGACATCATTCTCTTCTGTTCCAATTGCCTATCAGCAAGTATGAGTTAGAGGAAATGTGCTGTAACAAACAGCCTATTTCAATATCCTCTCATTGCCTACTCACTTAAATGTCAGTGTTCTCACCAAATAACTAATAAGAACATGGGCCGCATGAAAGATGATCTTTTATGAAGGCTATTTGTCATCATGTCATCCTTTTAATAGCCTTAGGGATTCTGTTCAGTCTCCGTGTTAAGAAGAGCAAGTTACAAGCAGGTTTTAACGCTTGTTCAAGAGGCCACCAATGTAATCACAGCTAGAAGTGAGTGTTCAGGCTTACAAGTGCACATGCAGTAAAGCGTCTCACATATTACATTTCAAATAAATGCCCTTACATATTTATGAGCTATTTTTTTGTTTTGTTCAGTTAGCGAGAGACAGTCCACCGAGACATCATCTAATATAAGCATTACCTCACACATTATCTACACTAAATTTTAATTATTTATACGGCATGCCAGTTCTTGGTATCCTTTGGCAGTGAATGAAATGTGTATGTTGTTAGTGTTGGCATATAGGTCTAAGGTAAATATTAGCACCGTTTGTAAGAAACAAAGTGGATCCATCTCTTGAAGCTATTTATTCCAGAAAAGTATGTTCAGTTTAAGAGTTCTGTCCAAAATCTGCCTTCTATGCTAAATTTGGGAGAAAAAATCTGAAAAGCATGGAATGAAAGAGATCCAGCAATCCTTTTTCAGAATACAATAAGATTTCTGTTCTGGTTGATGAAGACTGGTCTAGGCAAGGAAGGTCCCCGTTTGCTTTGGCACGCAGAGAGCAGCGCTGAGCCGCCCGGGCAGGCTCAGCCTCAGGTGTCTCAGCTTTACCTTTGTAAACTTGACCATCAAAGGCCCAGGGGCTCTGAGGCCATGGGCAACACCACGCCCACGCTACAGCCATTTTACCTACTTGCTGGCCTGGCTTCTGGGTTAGAATTTCTGCATTTCTGCCCTGCCCTTTCTCCTGGAGGTACGCTGAAAAGTGAATCACACGTGCAAGCTTTCAGACGGCGTACACCTATGGCTTCCCACCTCAACAGGGATTGAGGATGCCTTTGCTGTGAACTCACACTCAGTAGTTTTTTATTTGCCTGGAAGAATGTCTGTGCATAAAATCTGCCCTAAGTCATAGCAGACGCCTGTTCCTGGGGCCAGCAGAAGAGCAGGCATTGCGCACAGACGGGTACAGACAGCACTCCGTTATTTAGGAGTGGATTATCCACCTGGAAATTCCAACAGTGGATTTTCAATCCCACTCCTCTCTGCCCCTCAGCAGGCCATTGGGCTTTTAATTCTTGTGTTTGATGCACGGAGACCACACAGACAGTTACTGCAGTATCAGCCTCCGAAGACTGTATGTGGGCTAGGTTAGACCAAGTTTTGGATGCTAACTTCTGTTGATGAGGCGTATTTAGAATTAGCATGCACACATTTTTAGGTTTGAGCACTATTTTTAGAGTGTTTGTCCTCAGTGTGGAATTTTAGGAGCCAGCTCTGCCCCACTCTCCTGTACTAGTGCATGAAGTCAGTTATTTTTCTCTCCTTTTAATGCTTAATCTGGAGTGTGTGCAAGAAGATGGGTTCTTCCTGGGCTCCAGAGTGCCACGATCCTGTCCTGCGCCTTTCCCTCGCCCTAAGCTTCCAGCTGGGTGTGCGGGTCTCCAGCACCGCGGATTTGGTTTGCTCTGAATGGCACTGTGTTTGGTAGGAACTTGATTTGTTTTGGACCAAGGATGCCGGGGCTCCAGGCCGGCGTTTTGGGGAGGTGGTCTTGTGAGGAATGCTCACCCCACGTGCCCTGCAGTGTCCTCATTTAAAAAATGGGTAGAACCTACTGTTTCTACCTCCTGGGGTTGCTGTTAGAACATAAGGAGATTTTAAGCCATGGGAAGAGCTGAGGACAGTGCCCGGCTCCCAGCAGGAAGTACCCAGCATCCGTGGGCCATGTTCTTAACCTGTGTTTTATTATCTTCCCCTAGTGGAGGAAGATGCTGCTGTATCCCATCTCATGACGAGACCTAGAGAACGGCAGGTGTCAACACTGTCATTGTTCAAGGAGGTTGCTGTGTATGGAGACACTTGCATGTTTTAGGATTCTTTTTTTTTTTTTTTTTG